ATGCTCATCAAGCAAGTAATTTGGTGTTCTTGGCACTCTTCTCTACAGGGAGGGAATGTTTCAATGAGTCTGCCTGAGTATTACATTATGTTTGGCAGTCAAAATTTTTACTGTGAATCAATACTATATCAACATGTGATGTATCCATTAGCCTTTTATATATTTCATTATTTCGTTTACCTGAGCTTGATCAACTGTAGTTAAAACTTATTTTTAAATTTATTTTTATATTTTGATACCAGAGATTAAACCCAGAGACACTCAACCACTGAATCACATTCCCAACCTTTTTTTTGAGACAGGGCTTAGGGGCTTGCTAAATTGCTGAGACTAACTTTGAACTTGCACTCCTCCTGCCTCAGCCTCCCCAGTTGCTGGGATTACAGTCATGCACCACCATGGTTAAACTTATTTTTAACCTGGAAAGCTAAAAACCAAATCCTGTAGGAAAATGACTCTGTGGCATCACCATCACCAGGTGGGTTAGCTTTTCATTATTGGAAATACCTGAATTGGAGATGGTGGTACAGGCCTGTAATCCCTGTTGCTTTTGGGCAGCACATCAGGCAGGGAGCATGTGGTAGAGCAACTGCTCCTCTCATGACCAGAAAAACAAGGGAGAGGCAGGTCAGGGGTTAGGATCCTAGTATTCTCCTTCAAGGGTGTAACAACCCTAATGATCAGAAAGACTTTCCTTTGGTCCCCACCTCTTCAAGTTTCTACCATCTCCTAATAACACCATGCTAGGGACTAAACCTTTAACACATGAGCCTTTGGGGCACATTGTCATTCCAAGCTATAGTACCAGGTGAGACATGAGTTGAGTAACAAGCTGACCTCTTTGTCAACTTAAAATTTAAATGGCAGTTTGAGCATGAGACTTTTGACCTATACCATCATAAGACATTTGAAAGCTAAGCATTCTGTTTACCTTCACATCCTCGAAAGGCCCAACATAATGTCTGCAATGTTATAAGCATTGAATATTAGAACAGAGGATAGCTGTATATTTTCCAGATTCTGTGGAAAAGGATTAAATTCATCATCTGAGTAGAGACTACATTTCAGACATTCTTTATTAAAAGTGAAGTAATTAGTAATTGGGACAGAATTTAATATTGTAAGAAAAATGTTGATGTCCAGAAATATAAAGAGAAATGGATATAAAAAATAAACATCATATTAACTTGTTATATTTTTACACCTATATTTTTTTATAGTTAAATGTTTCCTAAATTTATATGTTAAAGGTTGCAACTACCATTCTTTTTCTTCTTTCAACATACTTTTTTTTCTTTCAACATATTTTAAAAACTTAAATAGTACTTGATAGAGATTTCATGTTCTTTTTGAAGAGATTTAATTTCACTTATCGTTAAACCAAAGATCTCTAAGTCCAACTTCTAATTATTGCCATATAGTTAAGGAACACATTTGTGCAATTAGGTTTCTCAGTTTTCTTTGGTTTGTGTTTTGCACCACTGGGGATTGAACCCAGGGCCTTGTACATACTAGGCAAGCACTTTACCACTGAGCTACATTCCCAGCCCCCAATTTTCTATTACAAAGAAAATCAATGCATATTGTTAAATACATTGGCTTGCCATTTTACATTCTTTTTGTTTAATAAAGTACATATCCAAAATTACAGATGCCTTTTTTCCTTTGATGAATCTCAGCCAAATATTATAGAACATCTGGAATCTTTCACTGGAAAAAATAAACAACAAAGGCATTTCTCAAGCTTGATGTGTGTGGAAGTTTGATGAAGGTTTAGTGAGGGTGGGTTTTTACTAGAAGGCTGGCTGGTTAGTTGCCAAGAATTCCTGGGCAGTAGTTTTGGCATTAATTTCTCACTCTTATAAGTCCAGTTGCCTAATCTTGCTGACTTTCCATAGTTGATCAGATTTAGTGGCTATTTCCCCTTCTTTCCTTTTGCTTTACTATTGAACCTTCTATATTGGGATAAGCCACTTCATTGACCTTGTACTTTATGCAGGTCACCAGTGATCTTGTATGCCCAGTAGATACCCTTATCTCTAATGACTTCGTGGCTACATTTACTTGAGGTGTACAGAAACTCTGTTTTGTGCCTACCAGTCCAATTTCCTTTTTCTCCAGGGTACATAGCAAACTGTATTTTCTAGCCTTCCTCTGAAGTTAAGTGGGGCCACATGACTAGAGTGTTAACTAGTGAAAAATGATAAGTGTTATGGCAACATATGATGGAATAACTACTTCCTCCTCTTCCAACTTACTGCAGTTGTGTATGACAAGACTAGGCAATGAAACTATGTTAAACTATTGAGAGTTGGGGTTCTTTGTTATAGTAGAAAGCTGTTCTACTTACTTGGCTTCTGTGATGCTCCTCTCTTTCCTGAATCTGTGTGTTATCCATTTGTCTGTTTATTTTCTTGAATTTCTCTACTCATTCCTTAAATATTTTAATGTTAAGTTTCCATGTCCCACTATTTTCTTCCTCTACATGTTGTTTGATGAACAATCTCCTATACTCTGTTTTCATCTACTAATATATTAATTAGCAGAATGGTAAATATGTTCCTAAATATTATATAAAAGTTTTAATAAATATGTGTATATGAAATTTATTTTGATTCATGTTTTGTGAGTTTGTTTCAACTATGATTTTAAAGTCCTTATTACTTATTTTCTCATTTTTGCCATTCCCTTTGATTGTATCTTTTTAAATGGTTATTTCTTTGAACAATAAAAACTCCTCATTTATCCAGCAATATTAATTGAACATCTGCCAGAACTGTCTTTTCTTTTTTTCTATTGGTGTATAGCATGTGCCTTACATAACTCTATGTAAGTAATCAGTGAATGTTGGGTGAATTGAATAGAACTATTTAGTGTATAACTGCCACAAGTAAGGTTCTTTGCTGGGGTCAGTGCAGAACAAAAACAAATATAAAACTTAATTTCTGTTTACTTCATTTTTTTTCCCACTCTGAACATCCTCCCTATCCCACCTCAATTAGCAAACATACTGAAGTAACTGCAACTCCACAAAAGTGACTTGCCTTCTGATTTTGGTATTCAGAGGTGACTCCAGAACTAGAATGGTGTTAGGCAAAACTCAAAACTTAATTTGACTTAATTATTAGGATAATATATTAATGTTTATTTCTTTTTTTTTGGCCTGGAATTAAGAAGCATTTAATCTTTTTTTTAAGAACTGACTTGATTTTTCTGAGATCATAGCTTACTTTATATATTTTATTGGGAAATTTCATTCATTGAAATAATTAATGGATTCACAAACTTTGCTAATATTGTCAGATTTTAATATATTAATAATAGCCAGGTCTTGCTTCTCCTTTTCTTTTTAAAAAAGATTATTCACCGGGTATATTCATCAGAGCATCATTTTAGTCACAGTAAGTAGATGTCATTGCAAATTTTCTCCCAGGGTCTAGCAGTTTTTCACATTTTATTTTCATTCTCAAATACAATTTCCTTTTAATGTTTTTAAATATTTTGGTATATCACTACGACTTTGGTAGTGTTATAATGTGAAAATTTTCATAGTGTGTAACATTTTTATTTGTTGTAAGTCCAATAGTAAACTAAGAATGTCCAGTTTTAATGGATTCTGCAAATGAAATTATCCAAAGGGTATCCCCTAATCAATTGGCTAAAATTATACACAGATTTATATTTTATTGTTTGCACCTTAGTGTAAATGAAGAAGGAAAACTTGCATTTTGGAAAAGCCCAGAGAGCTGGGAGTCTTTAAGAAAATTACCTAACCTCTTTTTGCCTTATTAGGTTGTAATAAAATTGAACAAGTAAGAAAAATGCCTGGTACAGTGTGAGCTATTATTTTTAACTAATGAAGAAATTAATGTTGTCAACATCTTTGTTTGAAATCTGTTTGCTTAATTTTCAATCCATAGGAAAGAGTTTTTCATTCTTGTTAAGTAAATGCAATATTTCTCTGAATGTCAATAACATCTTGAGGGTTTAGAAGAGCATAGTTTATCATAACTGCTGAACTAAATTTTTAAAAAATTTATTTATTTATTTATTTATTTGGTGAGGAAACAGGTTCAGAGAAGTCAAAGAATTTAAGGCAGGACAAGCAGATTTCTCAGGCACTTTTGCTTCATCTTAAAAGTTTGCAACTCCTTGCTTGCTCATGTCAAAACCAAAATTCCCCATCAGCATTTCAGAATCTGAGGCTAATGTTTGCTATAAAGGAAGATTTATAGAACCCTCTGGGGATCTACTGATTCTTCCAGAGGGTTAACTAGCACCTAGATGCTTTTTATGTAACTTCAGTTTGGAGAACCATGACACAGTAATGTAGAAAGCACCCTCAAAGAGGCAAGCTGAACCAAACCCAGGACATCTTTTAGGGTAGGCTGTCCTGGTGATTGACATGGCACACTTGATGCTTTGCATAGCCATCATGCATCAATCAATCGGACCCCTGAAGATCTTAAAACCTTCCTCTGCCATTACTCCACAGTTATGACTGCCAAATAGTGCGTTCTTTAGTTGTTTTCCTCAACAACAGTAAAATAAAGGGGATTCTGGCTCATTAGTGGTTGTGGAAACCAAACATGGGCCTGTTCCACCTTAAAGGGCCTAGGCATGCCTAGTGTTTGGGTCTTGCAGAGTTTGGGCACCACCATATTTGGAGCGTGCCTACTTTGGGGCGGGAACCTCCTTGGGAGTGATTAGGTCAGCGCTGGGGGAGGTGACCTTGTTTGGTTTCTGGCACCCGAGAACAGTGGTGCACTGTTTCTGCTGCCCCCATTTGTCTAATTGGCCCAGACACTCCACCAGCCGAAGCTGCCCAGGAGCTCCTCGCTGGCCACCCCCGCGGCCCGCGGCGGGCAGAGGCGGGAAAGCCGCGCGCCTGCGCCGTGGGAACCGGGGCCGGAGGCGAAAAGCGGGGAGCGGAGGGGGGCCGTTGGAGCCGAGTAGCGTACTGAGCGGCGTGTGACGCGGGGACGCCGCGCGCTCCCAACGTCGCCCCGGTTTGACGCACACGGCACCAAACTGTGAGTTTCAGGGGTTATTTGGTCGGATTAGCTAGGACCCGAGTGGGTTTCGGGCCTCAGGGCTGTGGCGGCGGCGGGACTGAGGGTGGCGGAAGAAGTTGGGGGACCCGGCCTCCGGCGCTCGGGCCCGGGGAGCTACGCCCTAGGCTGGGTCCCAACCATCCAAAAGGACGCATTTTGCCGCACAGGCTAAGATGGCGGCGGCGGCCGAGGAGGCGGAGTTGGTGCTACACAAGGAGCCCGGGCCCCGGGTTCTGGGAGGCGGCGGCCGCAGCGGCCGCGGGGGGCCGCGGAGCCTGAGGTGAGCGGCGGCCGCCGCCGCTGGGCGGGACTCGGAAGGGGCGGGGGGGGCCTTTCCCCTGCAGCGTTGGAGAATCCGGTAGCGGACACAAAGGGGCTGAGCTGGGCACTAGACTTGGGGGTTTTGTTTAGTCACATGAAGCCGAGCAGCCAGTGAGCAGTAGGGGGAAGGGGCTGAGATCAGGCGGCTTGAGGAGCCTGGCAGTCGCCATTGCAATGCACTGAGTAACGGGGCGGTCCGAGAGCAGTCATCAGCCCCTCTCCGCGAGGCTGCTTCGTCCCGGCCAGAGGCGCCGGCTCTGGCGTTAATTGTACACACCCCTCCCCTGGCTTGGGACTGGACCGCATAGCTCTCCCCTCCTCCCGTTCTGCAACATCTTGTGCCGCTAGGTGCCTGGGAAGTAACAGCAAGAGGTAAATCGCTCGAAGTGTTTGGGTTGCCAGGGGCTCGGTGGGTGTCCAGCTAAAGCTTTTTGCCTCTCCAGGTCTGATTCCCTGGCCTTTGTGTCCCTGGGAGCTTAATCTCTGCCAGAGGAAAGCAGGTGTGCTCCACTTCTCCCGTGAACCTGAAGATGAGTTGCCCCAGACCCTTCTCAGTGATTGGAAACTTAGGTGGTGGAGCTAAAGGTTTCTTGTTACCAGACTTCCACAGACGACTCTCGTGTTGGGATCCATCCATGGTTTAGCAACATTAGTGGAAAAGTTTTCTTGAACTGTTTTAAGTAATATTGACTTAAGTATAGTAGTTATAAAACTTTTATGTTTAGAGTTCAGATTTTGTGGGATCAGTAAACTCAACGAGGGGATACACATAACTTGGGTCCTGAAATGAGGGTCCCGTTTTGTATACAAGTTAATACTTTTTACAGAGATACCCAAACACTGTCTTCTATTTTGGCCTTTCCTGATTAATGCCAAGCTTGGTGCATCTGGGTGATGATATAGATTTGCCTTAATCATATATTACATCTCTGCAGTAGCTTACGTTAGTTACATTATTTGGTCCCACAAGAAGGAAAGCATTTCAAAAAAATAGACATCTAAAGTTCCTCAAAGAAAGGAAATCGGCTCTTTGCCTTCAGTGCCATGTGTAAGTATCAAGGGAACTTGACATCTGCAATATCGTATTTGGTAGGTTTGGTAAGAAGAAATTATTTTTATAATTTAACTTAGATATAGGTGAAACGTGACTGCCAACTAGTATTAATGCAGCGGTATATATTGCTGTTAAAATCATGGCTGTATAAGTTTTAGAATTTCTAATTTATTATAATAAGTTATAATAACAAATCATATATTTGAATAAACTAATAGTGAAGTACAGATTTCAATACTGAAGTACAGATTTTGTCTTTGCCATTAACAAAGTAATCACTTGAAGGTATAGATAAACGCATTTAGGTCACTAATTTAAATTTGTATTCAAGATGAAATTTAAACTTTTCAACATTCCTTAAAACTTTAATTTTCTTTTTTTTTGAGATATCTATTTTCTCTTTCATAGTTTTTCTAGTAGAGTGTGATCTTAACTGTATTAATGAATAGAAGATATATTATTAACATTAGAAAATGTATTCCTAGATTATATAGTTTTACAGTGAGGGAATCTCAAAGAACCAGTATGCATACCCCCTTTCTTACAATATCTGAGGATAATTAAATTAGTTGCATAATGAAAAATCAATCTTTCAACTTCTGTTGCATTGCTGTTTTCATTTGTCACATTGCTTGGATGAGAAGGTGAATATCTGCAAATAATGGTTAAAAGACTCAACAAGGGAGAATTATTGAGAGTACTTGTTAATTAAATGCTATCACATTAACGAGAACTTCTGTGACAGTAAGTTAAATTTAATGTTATATGTTAGGTGACTTTGTTTATAAAGTGACTTTCAGTGAAATCCAGATACAAAATACAGAAATTTCAGAGCAGTGTTGGTTATGAATATTGAGATTTTCTGAAAGCATACTTGACCCAGAAATTTAAAAATTCAACAAGTTTCTTGGAAAGTTTGAGATAACTTCCATTATTACCTAAGAAATGAGAGATGCTAAAAACAACAGTGCTTTTGATATGATAAGTGAACATGCCACTCACACTCTTTTTAAAACAACTTTTAAGAGTACTGCTGCTCCTGTTGCTGCTGAGTAGTGTATCTCTCTGTCAGGTCTGTGAGGAAATTCAGCAAGTCGTAAAATCATTTGTGGTGAATCCCACAGTGATCTTTAACTTTTTGGATGCCAGATTTGACAAACACAGTTAAATTGTTTTGACTCTTTTACAGTTCATTTATGAACTTTTAAATTATTTTTTTTCATAAGAAAGTTAATAAGGTATTTCATAATTTTCAACACTATGTGAATGGATTTAATTGCAAGGTAGTCTTGGGCCAGTGGCCCAAGAGGCTGAGACTGGAGGAATGCAAGTTCAGGGACAGCCTGAGCAATTTAGGGAGGCTCTGCCTCAAAATAAATAAATAAATAAATTGCATATTAGTCTTGTGATAATTAGGGTTATACTTTTAGATTATTTGTAATTATAAAGTGGGTCTGTAACTGTAAACTTTAAATGCTTTCCAGGTTTAGTTTGTGTTGGAGTTTCTTGGGAGGTAGAGTTTTGGTTGAATTGAGAATGTAATGGGCAGCAAAAAGGGAAAAGACTCAAGGAAAGTGTCAAGATGATGTGATTTAGAGAAAGTTCAGGTACTTCTGTCATCCTAAACACACTATTAGTTGTTTAGGGTTATTTTCTTTTCTGCACATGTGACTGGGAGAAAAAGAGTGGATCTTAGTCTTGTGGGAATGCATTTCTCTCAGCATTCTTTCAGTAGCATCTCAGAACTGCTTTTCTGTCAATAAGGAAGTTGTAGCTTGCAGCAAACAAAAACTAGCATGTTGAATTATCCAACCCTAATTTGTAGAAAACCCGTTATGCAGGCCTTTAAAAAAAAACTGTTTTCAAGTGTCTTTGAAATGATAACCTCGTGAAATAAAACATGGGGATGAATGGTGGGTACTATAATAATTTAGGTAAATATTCAAATGAACTCAGCATTTTTAAATTTAATGGCTCTGGTATAGAGAATGTGTTTTGTACAAGGAGAGTCTTAATATTGAACAAAATCATGAGTTGTAGCTTTGAAGTAGCTCAAAAGGTGGTGTTTTTGATTCAGATTTATTAGTGGGAGATAGCTGCTTTTAATAGTGTAAACTATACCATTGAGTTTTAAAAAAATGATACTAGTTCTAGCTCACCCTGCTGGTTGGCTCATGTATTTGTCCTTTTCCTTATTTTAAATACTATATGAGACTTAGAGGATAATGGAACACAAAATTCAATTCATCTTCAGAAAAATGAAAAAGTAATTTTCTCATCTCTCAGGCGTCAATTATACCACTATTAAATTTTTTCTCAGATTTTTTATTCTCATAGTTAAACTGTGGAGTTACTTCCTTTATGAACTTACTGAAAGCTCATGTAGTTATGGAGTTAGTATGTTTCTGTATTTTTAAGTTTAGAATAAACACTTTGACAATTGTGAGATAAACTTCCAAGAGGAGAAAAGCAAAGGTCAAGGAGCCTGATGGGTAGAAGTAGTAGCAGAGCAAACTTTTGGGTGGGGGAAAGTGAGACTGGATTAAGGTTAGCTTTTTTTTAAGAAATTTCCTTTTCACTCTTATACTAATCTTTGTCTACCTCTTCGGTTGTAGCCTTCCCATATCATTTAGAATTCTTGGATCTGTGATTTTGTAATGAAAGTATAAATAAATGATTTGTTCCATGAAGTTTGAAAATGAAGTTGGTTAGAGTGTTACAGATTTATCGTAGTAAGTTTTTCAGTATGTGTATTTGTATAAGTTGAAAATACAGTGCCGTAAAAACTGATGCTGGGGAATGAACTGAAGACCTTGGGCATGCCAGGCACTCATTCTATCACTTAGCTATACCCCAACCCTGTGAAGTGTATAAGTTGTAGAAGCATAAGTGTTAAGAGCCAAGCAGACATGTGAAAGTAAAAAAACACCTAATAAAGTGTTAGGATTAAAGCACAATTTATAAAGCCTGCTTACACATATCCTATCAATATTTAATTTTTAAAAATTAATATTTTAGTCCTTTCTTCATGGAGTTTATTTTACTTAGAAGCTTATTGTATACATGCACACGTATTAGTTTCTTGAGGAAGATATTAAGTGTAACATGTATTTTCAGAGTACCATTTGTTAAGGAGAAAGGGTGATTCCCAATTTATTGTTGAATAGTTTGTGAAGATAGATAAAAGCCTTGAGTTGAAATTGTCTTTGCTTACTACCAACATATTGAATATTTTATACACACACATATATACATATTCATATAGAATCACACTCGGCCTTTGTCTTTATGCATGTATAAAGAGACAGTAAGGGATAAGGTGGGAGTCTTGAAGTAAAATTGGCAGTGTTCAAATTTAGCAGTGTGAGCACTGGGCAAGTGGATTTAACCATAATACTATTTTTGTAGAGGTTTAGGGTTCTAATTTCAGAATTCATGAAAAGTCCTTAGCTTTCTGGTACATAATGAATGCTGAGTAAGTATTAGCTGTTAAAATAATAATAATAATAGTTATTAATATTGTTTATTCTTTTAAAAAAATAGCTTAAATTTCCATCTGTACCTATTTGAAATTGTATGCTTTTGCTAATATTCCATTTTTAGGCCGTGTCTCTAAAGATGGGGTTATTATAAAGATAGTGAGAGATAGGCATCAAAGTGTGCCTTCTCTGATTCTAGAACAAATCCTGTAACCAGGTTAAATATTTCAGCAGTGCATTCCATTTTTTTTTTTGATTGCAAGCTGATGAGAAGATGTACTGGGGAATGAGTACATTTTAGTGGAAGTTATTTCTTAACCAGGTGTTTGTCTTTGTTACAACATCCTAAGTTTCTTCATTTACCTTTAAATTTTTGTGCATGAGTGTGGGAGTTCCCATTAGTAAAGAGAGTGACTTGTCTATGTG